CCAATCTCTCTTTTTCATCTAAACACACACACACACACACACTCATGCAGGTAAGCGTATCCCAATAAATAAGCCTTCATTTACCCAGTATGCTCAATAGATGACTGAGAATTAGCAATTGTTTGATCTTTAGGAAAACACCCCATGACCCATGGTGTAAATCTTGATTACATGATAAAAATAAGACATATTTGTGATAATCCACAATGTAATTTGATTGAGGGCAGGAGGAGAAGGGGGTAAAAGAGGATGAGATGGTTGGATGGCATCACTGACTTAATGAACATGAGTTTGTGAAAACTCAGGGATATAAAGAAGGATGTGGAAGCCTGATGTGCTGCAGTCCATGGGGTCACAAAGAGTTGGACATGACTGACTGACCAACAACAGTATAATTCTGAGCAGTAGTATTAACGTTTGATCTTTTAAAATTTCAAGAAATAATCAACTCGAAGACAACAGGGATACTTGTAACATTGCCTCATTTCTACTAGTTTTGAGCAGGTATTTACAATACTGAATAGAATTAATTTTAAGAGAAAGTATAGCAAAAATGTTAAATTTTCCACTTCTTTCTTGCCATTCTGCATTAATGTCAAAATTGGCCTTCTCTTTTATCATTAAACAATTGCTCACTTCTCTGAGCCTCAATGTCATCATCTTATGGAAGCAATTTCTTCCCCATAGATTTATGACAATGTAATAAGATAACATACATAATATAAACATTTAATAAAAAATGATTAACTCAATTAAGAGCAAAATACTTAACTAGAATAATTCACTGTTTCTTTAGGTGTCTCCATATAAGCATAAGAAAGCAAAACTTTTCTAAGTGTGAGTAAGATCTCTTTTGTTAGAACTAACTCCCTTCATACTTTTATTTTCATTTTTTGTTACATAGTTTTTGGTAAACTGCTTGAGATTCAAAAAATGTAGTAATCAAAAGGTTTTGTATGAAAACCATTTTCAAGAATGTGGTAATCTATTCATCAGTCATTTATGTTGAAGGTCAAAGCTAAGATTTTTGAAGACTCAAGAAAGGATGTATATCAGAAAAACGATTCTGCTGAAGGCTATACTGAATAGGTAATTGTTACTCAGGAAACATTGCTTGCGTCTTCACATCTTTCAGTTAGCCTCTGATCTGACAGACTCCAGGAGATATTATTTCCCTGACTATTTCTTTCCTTCTCTAACTTTTTAGAATCAGAAGGAAAGATCAATAGTTGCCCTTTTGTGTCCTAAAATCAAGTTTTTCTCATATAGAGGAATAAACATATTTTCTGCTTTGTATTAGTTGGTACTGCAGAGTTTTCACAATATGCCAATTCAGATGCTATGTAGACTTGACTTATTAAGACAAATTCATTAGATATATTCAAAGCAAATGCTTTAGGCTTCATGTATTGAAACCTTATTTTAAAATGAAATTATGTGTAATGTTGTTCTTCTCTGAAAGTGTAAGATGCAGCGTTTGAGGTATATTGACCTATAAATTGTTTTCTACATTCTCTGCTTTCCAACTCATTAAGGGTTTAAAATGTACAATTAGTAATATTGATAGAGCTTTTTTCAAAAGCACTATGGTAATAATAGTATGACACAAAATCTAAATCATATAAAGCAATTTTCTCTCTAAAATAATTTTAACAAAATCAAAATTTATGCATAGAGTGTTTGTACATAAAATGTCAGAATTCTGACAGAACAATATTTTAAACCTCAACATCCAATGTTAGAGGAATGACTTGATAAAGTAGCAACACAATTGAATATTAGCCATTAAAGTAAAAATTATGGAAACTATTTTAAAATATACAGTAGGATTTAGAATATTGGTTTAAAATAGAATTATCTAGAATTATGTATATTTAGCAACTGTTTAAAACATAGATGTTTACATATGAAAGGGATGTGCAAAAGTGAAGAGATTCTAGATTTTATATAGATCATAGACCTTGAAGTCCATTTATAAGTGAAGAATCTATGTAGTTAGAGAAAAGATTCTCTTAATTTTCTATTTTATAAAAGTATATAAGAGGATTCATATAATTTAGGTGATGTGTCTGTACAATGAAATAACCATTGAAGAGCTGGAAATAGGAAAGATGGTACCTATATTTTAACCAATAGTCATTCTAAAATGCTGTTGGCATAATTGAATTTCTTATAGGTTTTGTAAGGATTGTATCATTTGAATTTGAGTGCTAAATAATTATGAGACAAAATATAATACACTGGTAATACTGCTTTGTGATATTGTACATTAAACTGAAAATTAACCATAACATTGTATACATGAAAAGAACATTTTCAAAACTAGTAATGAATTGATATACTTTTATATACGTTAGTCAACTTCTAATTTGTATTATTCACATTAAAGTTTTAGTTTTTCCATAAAGCACCATTTAATCCATTATTATACTATAATTCCAAGAACATTAATGCATTTTTCAGCAGGAATTAATACCATTAATTGACTAATGGTAGTTTATTAGTAGTGAATATGACTCAATATACATAGTGAATTGTCAGAACATTTTCTTATTTACCATTTTATATATTTCTATTTTAGCTTATGGCACAAACTCTTCTATTTCTTAGCAATTCCTATAATTATCACTCATTTTAAGAAAATATGTTAGCACAGCAATAATACTGTCGTTAAGCAGCTAGAAAGAGTTTCAAATGTAGTTTCTAAAGCACTTAATTTCTTATGAGAACCAAACTTGTCATTCTCACAGATTTAAGAAACTAGTTTATCCTTAAGATACAAAGACAACTTTGGAAAGTAAATTACCACATTTAATAATTGAGTCTCTCTTAGAAACTAAAAAAATTTCATCTTGATCATAGAGAATCGGTTTCTTCAAATCCTATTTTCAACTGCATTTAGTACATGTGAATGGATTTTTGAAAATGAACTGGAAAGATACATGAGTTCATAATCATACTAATTCAAGTTTACTTGTATAGGGTTTTTACTTAGCTTCACTGGTCTGGAAATTTCTGAAAATGAACTGGAAAGATACATGAGTTCATAATCATACTTCTAATTCAGGTTTACTAGGATAAGGTTTTTACTTACCTTCATTGGTCTGACATCTGTATCTCTATTTTCCCGTAGGGAAAAAAAAATCCTAGTTCTCAATACCACCAATGTAATTACTCATTTGATTTGTCTCTTAATACACACACACACATTCAGCATTACAGTACCAGTAATACCACTTGCAATATCATTACTAAAAATAGTTCAATAATTTTTTCAGTTTTTTTTTTTTGTAATACTTAGAATATGTCCCATTGGGATGTAGGTTAACTAACTGTCATTTAATGTCATTTTAAGTAGTTCCTTTCAGAGGCTATGCTTTCAACTCAACACCCAGATTTCTTTCTTTTAATCTTCTGAGATTGCTCTTTCGATGTTCATTTGCATTTTTATTATTTATATTCAGAGATGGTTTTCTTCCAACCCTGTAGTGGCCATCCTAGCCTCCTATCCTCTAAGGGCAACCATTGGTACTAGTTTTTATTCTTAGATATATCCTTAGACTTTTTTATACATTTTTCTCCACCTCACTTTTTTCATTTAAAAGTAAACCCTGAAATAAATTAATTCTAGTATTTATAGATGGTCACAATTCCTTTATACAGTTCCATAATTCTCTGGTGAATGTAGCATAGTTTTTTAAACCAATCCCTAATTGATGGGCATTTAACTTGTTTCCAGGCTTTACAAATAAATTTTAGCAAGTAGTCTTGTAAATATGTCACTTTGTATTTGTGTAGTGTCTCTTTCAATAGATTCCCAAAAGCCAAAGTGTAAATGAACATATAATTTGCCTTAAATTGTTAGATTTCCCCTTATAAGGATTATGCCCTTTTACATTTACACCAACAATGTAGTAAAGTCTTTTCCTCACAGTCTAGCCAACAGCCTGGTGTCAAGTTTTTTGATTTTTTTGCCATTTTAAGATGAGAAATGGTATCTCAGTATATTTAGTTTGTATTTTTAAGACTGAATTTTAGTTCTCTGTGTAAAAATTCCTTTTGTAAGTAATTCGAGTATTTAGAGATGAGAAGTATTTTGTTAGAAAAAAAAAAAACTTCAGTGTATACAAGATTACTTTAGGTTAGGATTGGATTGTTAAGATAATGTTATATAGAAAAAGAAGACAGACATGATTCAAAATAAACTTCATAAATTAAATATTTCAGTTGTGGTCAAAAGTCGTAGAAATCTTGCCAAAGAAATGATCCTTTCATTGATAAGCCAAAATGCACTGTAGTTAAGTTTGTGATGTAACTTCTATAAAGTACTGAAACTTCATAAAGTACCAAGTCTTGAAGGAAAGAAAGCCTATAAATTATCATGTAATTGCAGAGGATTTTCTGTAGTAGTCTTAATTTTGAGAAAATATACAAGTCAAGTCTATTATATCCCATCTTATAGCCCAAAACCAAAGCCAGTTTTCGGAAAAATGTTGTCCTCTAACAGAATCAGAGAGGATGAGTTGTGGTCCTTATTCTTGGGCTGAGTTTTCCCTTTGTTCCCTGATTTGTTTCTGCATGCCCGCAAGCCGAGTTGCCTCAGTTGTGGGTGACTCTTTGTGACCCCTGGACTGTAGCCCACAGGGCTGCTCTGTCCATGGGATTCTGCAGGCAAGAGTGCTGGAGTGAACTGCCATGCCCTTCTCCAGGGGATCTTTCTAACCCAGGGGATCTTTCTAACCCAGGGATCGAACCTGCATCTCCTGCAGCTCCTGGACCGCAGGCAAAATTCTCTACCACTGAGTCATCAGTTTCTAAATAAATTTTAAATTTCATTTGGATTGAATAAAGTAGATCCTGATTATCATATTAATCTGACATCGATAATTGGTGTCCTCTTCAACAAGAGTTGTGTTTTCCTTGGGAGACAAAGTGTTAAAGAAAGCATTGTGGAGAATGATTCCTGCCAATTAATTCTTAGTTGTTTTCTTTCTTTTCAGCACCTTCCCTGATAGGTATGGTAAGAAAGGACTGGGCATCCCAGAATAGCATTGCCCTATCATGGCAAGCCCCTGCTTTTTCCAATGGAGCCATACTGGACTACGAGATCAAGTACTATGAGAAAGTAGGTCTTATTTGGAGCTTCCTCAAAATGTACATATACATATATATGCATATATATATTAAGTATATTGTTCTAGAATATTATTTTACTTTAAAACCTGTTCTTTTGGGCCTAACTTCTTACCTACTATGTCTTTAAATATTCTCCAGTATACTATAGTGCTCATAATTTCTTAATTAATTAGTCTTGTTTTATATCAGATTGAGGTAGAAGACACAGGATGTACGTTTCTATCTTCACTTACTCTAAGGAGAGTTTTACAATATAGTGAGAGATTGTATTCATCAACTTACAGTGTAATGAATATATTGTTATTTCTCAGACTCACTTCAGAAAAAATAGCAAAATGGAATTATCATAATCTAAAACAAGTTCATGTGGGCCATATCCTTGCCAATGAATTTAAAGTTGTAGTCTGCTAAAATTGGCAAAGTGTGATTTAAGGTATAAGTGAAAATAGCTGATGAATTTAAAATTGTCTTTCCACTCAGATCAGCTGTTTTATAAGGTAGCAAGATAAATCTGGTTAATAAATCAACTCTTAACTTTAATTTCCATTTCTGTCATTAAGATTGTTCTCAATTACTATGTTTTCCTAAATTATATACTTCCTTAATTTTATGACATTCACATGTCTTCTTTCTTTATGCTTTCTCCACATCCCTCACCGTTCTGATATCATTGCTATAGATGTTAAGGCAGACATAGAGTCAATTCTGATAATATGTCCCAGTGGGCTGATACTAACCTAGACTATTGATAAAGTGAGCATTACATTTAAAAATATTATGTAAAAATTTATATAATTCCCAGTGATATCTTAAAATAAGAACTTATATTTCTGTCACTTATTGGAAGCAGAGGAATATCACAAATAAATTTAGGTTCCCTATGATGAAACGCAGGGCAAAAAGAGAAATGGTGGAGAATTCTGACAAAACGTGTCCACTGGAGAAGGGAATGGCAAACCACTTCAGTATTTTTGCCTTGAGAACCCCCATGAACAGTGTAAAAAGAAGAGGAATAGAAGTCTATATTTTTCTACTCTACTGCTTCTGAGCAAATGTAAGTTTGAAAAGGGGAGAAGTAACTCAGTAGCATGATTATATCTAGTAATTTCAGAATTATGTAGTCAGTGAAAGCTATCATTATTATTGACTGACATGGAAAAATCCATAGTCTAAGAAAGGAGGAATTTACTTAGTTTAACTAGATTATAGATTCTGTGCATTGGCCTGGCCAGCATGTGCTCAGAAATCCTGTTGGTCTGTCCTTCCAAATGTTACAACCTATGGCATCCTGTCACAGGAATATTCATATTTTTCTGTCCATTAATTTAAATATATCTTCATATACTCAAATAATTCAGTTTATTTAAAAAGGAATATACACATTCTTAAGGAAATTTTCAGAATAAAAATATTTGTCTTGTATTATAAAGGTAGTATTTCATACACAGATGACGACTCTTATTGTATAGTCATTTTTGCTTCATATGTCTGAAGATGAAAATAACATAATATTTCCAGTTAAAGAAAAATTGTGCTGATTCCACAAGAAAAGAACTATATTCATCCAAGTGGAACTTTAGAAATTAATAATATCCTGAGAGATGGCTACTGACATAATATCCATGTTTTAATAATAGAATAAATAATATTACAAAGGAGTTTATTTTATAAGAAAATGGCAATGATCCTTTGCTAATGAATTAAATGTGGAGTTGGAAGCCAAGGATTCCTAATTCATGTTCTGACTCTGACTCTAATGCTTGTGGTCAGGAAAAAGTCTGTTAATCTCCCTAATCAGACTTCATATTTACGAAAGGAAAATAAAGATATCAACCCTTCTAGTGTGTTGTAAATATTAATTATAAACAGATCTAAAGATGAAGAGTATACAAATTCAGTATTAAATATCGAAATGGCAACCCACTCCAGTACTCTTGCCTGGAAAATCCCATGGATGGAGAAGCCTGCTAGGCTATAGTCCATGGTGTCGCAAAGAGTCAGATGCGACTGAGCAACTTCACTTTTCACTTTCAAGGAAGCATTAGAGAAATATTTGGCCTATATATAATACAATATAGAATCAGAGCATAGGAATTATATACAAACTAAATAAAAATCATGATGCCTTCATATATAAATATATAAAATATTGGCAACCAGTCAAGATGTTAGAATATCAAAACTCTCAGATTGACAGCATCAAAATTTTTCCCAACTATGACTGCAGATTCTTACCATAACAGTTTCTCTTCCCAAGAATTATCTTTATAAAGCTTATAAGTAGGGTAACTTACATTAGAACTCTTACTTAAAATTGCTAATATCATTCTTTATTAGGGATCTAAATATTGTTCAGTAAGAAGAACAAGATAGAAAGCAGAACAGGTGCAAATGAGCCTATTTGGGGAACACAGATATTCCCCCATAAATTTATATTTTTGTATGAATATATTAATATATAGAATATGAAATGGAAACATGCATTTTATGGGTAATTTATTTTGTTAGAATGGGATGAGGGATGGAAGTACATAGATGGAGGCAAGAAAGAGCAAGGTAGCAAATATAGATAAATATGGATGGATAAATGGATAGATAGATGGATGGTAGAATGGGTAGATCCTAAATAGCTTTAGTAGTTGTCTTAGACCCAGTTGCTCAAAGACAAACTCTGAGATGGGAATTTGTGTACAAGTGATTAATTAAGAAACCTCCTAGGATTACTGGTAAGACAACGGGGAAACAGGACTCTGAAGAAGATGTCGATCAAATTCAGAGTGAGCAAGGGGAGGTCTTGCGTCTAAATTACATCTCAGAGTTCATTCTATGGTGACAAGAAGCTGAGCTTCCATACTCAGGCTTTAGTCATTCACTGATGACAGGTTGGAATGGACATATAGGTGTGGTATTCAGAAAAAGTCATAGGTGCTTCTGGTTCTCCACTGTGGTTCCACTAGCCAAGTTTAGGTGTCTAAAGTAGATGGAAGGCATAAGCCTTTAAAAACAAAATGCACAGTAGCTGGGGGATGGGAGCAGGAACAGTAGAGGTGATCCAAGTATGTCTCCTGGCACCCCAAGTAATAGCTAAAGCGCCTCAGTGCTCAGTGAGCTGTGATAGAATTTTACTCTTCAGCCTGTCATGATATCCACAGTCTCCACGGTCTTTAATATTGATGCCTCCATCCTTAATTTAGGCATTTAAACTTTACATTTCCTTTCAATCAAAGATACACTGTATTGCTAACCTTAATTAATACACAAATAATATTTATACCATTCTTTGAATAATTTGTGCTGTTTCAAGTTCTCATTGTGTTAGGAGGATTACTTTGTAAATTAGAAGAGAAGTTAAGCGACTTCCAATCAGTCCATCCTAAAGGAGATCAGTCCTGGGTGTTTATTGGAAGGACTGATGCTGAAGCTGAAACTCCAGTATTTTGGCCACCTGATGAGAAGAGCTGACTCATTGGAAAAGACCCTGATTCTGGGAAAGATTGAAGGCAGGAGGAGAAGGGGGTGACAGAGGATGAGATGGTTGGATGGCATCACCGACTCAATGGACATGAGTTGGGGTAAACTCCAGAAGTTGGTGATGGACAGGGAGGCCTGGTGTGCTGCGGTTCATGGGGTCGAGAAGAGTCGGACACGACTGAGCGACTGAACTGAACTGAACTAAGTGACTTAGAATGTGAAGTGTCTACAAATGTCTGAGATCAAGCACATATCATTGTTGCCAGTGACCTTTGCTTAGAAAAAGACACTGGTCTAAGTGTTTGACAATTGAAGTTTGGCTTAGACCTTAAGTTTCTTATTCCTGTTTTCTCATCTATATAATAAGGGTTCACAAAGATAATCTCTTCCATTTTTAGCTATTTTCAAATGCTACTATGTTTGTGTTTATACAGTTATATAGATATACTATCTTTCAAATAACTTAAGTATGCTAAAATTAAATATACAGGCACATTTTTAAAAATAATTCACCACAGGGAATAATAATCTTCACATCATAATTATATCTAAAAATTAAAACCTAGCTATGATTGTCTTCTGTTTCTGTGTGTGTGTGTGTGTGTGTGTGTGTGTGTGTGTGATGAACAGACTATGGAGAAGAAAATCTATAGCTTGTGGGTTATAATGAATTAGATATTCTCTATTCAGTTAATTATACTCTCCAAATCCTTGGCCACATTTTTCATACTTAAAAAGTGTTTTAAACTTACATGAATACTCTATGAATATGAAAAGGCACTTAAAATAATGAAGAAATTGAAGTATAAGTTACCAAAAAATTTTATATTTCATATTTACTCACTAACTATTTTTCTTCAAAGTAGAGCATACTCACACTGAGGAAACTGTTAAAAAAAAATCATGACGACAACTTAGATGTACACTCTTTATATAATGGCCTTCCCAGGTGGTTCAGTGGTAAAGAATCTGCTTGCCAATGCAGGGGACAAGGAGATGGGGCTCAACCCCTGTTGTCAGGAAGATCCCCTGGAGAAGGGCATGGCAGCCCACTCCAGTATTCTGGCCTTGAGAATCCCATGGACAGAGGAGCCTGGAGGGCTCCCGTCCAGAGGTTTGTGAAGAGCTGGACATTACTGAGTGACTGAGCACATACGTGCATGCTTTATATAATACTTCATGAAGCAGCTGGTCTCATTTCCAGGAACTGACAAATGGGGCGGAAGGCAGGGAGCTCTTATAGGAGAAAGGATAAAGAACAAGGGAAAGAAAAAATAGAAAATATCTATCCTGCTGTAGCCACATAGTCAACCTCATTTAGGGTGAGAAGGAACAAGGAAATAAGTATAGAACCCAAAGTTGGCTTGGTGTTTGGGGATAGGCTAACTGGATATACTGTGTCATCTTTTTTTTTCTTAAGTGAAGTATAGTTGATTTAAAAGTTGTGTTAATTTCTGATGTACAGCATGGTACTCAGTTATACATATTTATGGATTAGTTTTTAATATTCTTTTCCAT